AAATTAATCCATAATAATGTAAATTTATACTATATAAATATAACATAAAAATCTATAACAACAAAAAAAAGTTTTTTAAAAGGTGCTAAACCTAGTAGCAGTTTTACTTAGTGGATTTTCCCATCCCAAATCCTTAACTCCAGCTTCCTCCAACACTCCTTCCAGATGACCGCATCCGTCCTCTCCTGCAGTGTGCAGGGAGAGCATGTCACCTGGGCATTGGCAATGTCCACGAAGCTGTGCTTGTCGGTGAGCTGGAGATAGTGTGCGTTGAGAGGACTGCCCGGAGCTTCCAGTGCCTTGGGGTGGCTTTGCAGTTGCTCCAATGCCATCTGGTAATACAAAGCCCTGGAAAAAGTTTCTAAGTAGGAAAGACAGATGTTATTGTTTTTTTCTTTCTTTATTGAACTTGGTCAGGTAGAATCTCTGTAGAAAGTTAAATAATACAGTGATGTACAGGGTGGAAACAGAAACAGAAATGTGAAATTTGTGGATGGAAGAATAAGTAGAGACCATCCACTCTAAACTGTCCATTTTACATACTTGAAAACTAAAGCACAGAAAGGCAGTAGCTGTGGGGATGAGCAGACGACCCTGGGTAAGGCCCTTGACCTTTCTCTGCCTCAATTTCTTCATCTTATTTCCTCAGTTCATTCATTGCCTCATTTCATCTATGGAGTTGATCAGCTCTTCTCCAGTTTCCCCTCAGTTCTAAAGTCCTATGATTCCATGACCTGCTCAGAGTGACACTGCTGGTCCAAGGCAAAGCTGGAGCAGTGTCTAAGCCGGCTGACTTCTGGACACTGCTCCTTCCACTAAGATGAAGCATAAAATAGACCACGACAATAACAACAAAACCCTCAGACCAAGAAACAGGACGTGAAAATGCTCGTGTCAAGTTTACGGATGTAAGCCAACATTTCAAGCTAGAACTGCTCTCAGTCTCAGGAATCCTTCTTAGCCCAAAGGTGACTGGGGACTTGGGGAAGGACCTCCCTACACAAGCTGCCCAAGGGAGAGAACAAAGGGAGGCTTCTGGGTAGGGTGTTCTGTTGGGCAAAGGAAAGAGCTTCCCTCCTGCAGGTCCAACCACAGTAATGAAGGGGAAGGTGGTTACAGGCACTACGGTTACCCCTCATCACACAGATAAGGTTAGGAGACTCCGGAGGTGAAGGACTCCCCCACCAGGGCCCCGGCTGCAGGTGCAGGTCTCAGCCGCCCAGTGGGGCTTGCTGGCCGCCTCCAGCCCTCAGCGGGGACGGGCTGTCAGAGCAGAGGGCCAGGTTACTCCAGAGAGGAGGCTGAGTTACTCCGTCCAAGTCACCCGCAGGAATGTCCATCTCGGGCCATCTCCAGACTCAGGGGCTCTGGGCCGAGTCTGCAGGAAGGTGAAGGGGAGAGGAGAGGATGCTGCGCTCTGACTGCTTGTCTGCTGGGGACACTGCTCACATCCTGGGAGGAACTGAAAATGCTACAAGTCAGGGTGGAGCCAGCTGGGCAAGGATCAAGCAGCCTCCAAAAAGTCAGCCTAGAAAAATACTGCAGCTGCTTTGCCATCATTTAGCATTGAAATGACCTTAAATGTCTTGGCTGCTGACAATAATTGTGGCCTGTCTTCACAAATTCAAATTTGGGTGCAGTGGGGCTAAAAGTCCCATCAAAACGCTGCATGGGGTCAGGATTTTGCCAAGCCCCTTGCTCAAGGCCTCCCCTCCATTAAATCGACCGCAGAGAAGGGCAGGGTAATGTGGCTACGCGCCCTCAAGAAACAGTCTGTGCCATGTGAGCCTCTGTCCTCTCTCTCTATAATCTCAGGAATCTTCCCAGACCCCATGTGTGTGCACTGACATCAAAGCCCATCTTGCTTTGCAGGTCATCTTCTGCAAATGAATCCTGGTCCTTTTATTTGTAATTGGGGCTCCTGGAAAAACTGGGATTATGGGATAAAGAGGAAGCTTTAGCCAATGAAATGGTGGACTGGCTTCTAAAATAGCCTCTGGTCTATTTTCTAATCTGCTGAAAGAATCTCCAGCATTTCCTCTGAGGGAGCAGCAGGAGGAAGCCTGGCACACTTACTGTGGATGAGGTAGTACGTGAGGTGCCCCCGGTAGTCAGCACTGGTGAGAAGGACCAGTTTCCTCAGAGGCACCGACATCCTGCTCCCTGGAGAGTTAAAAACAAAAGATACAAATTTATTCCAAGACTCAGTTTTGTGCCAAGGGCCTTTGTCTGGATTGGGCCCCACAGGGGAGAATTGCTAAGGAGGAAGCCAGCAATGAGACAGCCTACCTCCCTTGTTTGCTTCCTTTCTGAACTGGTTCTGGAGCCAAAGCTGGTGCCCTCCCAAAGTGGCCCGTGTCCAGGACCCAGGCCGTGGGGGCCCCCTACCCCCAGCCAGCCAAGCACAGAGCAAGCATTCAGCCCCACCACCCTGACTGACAGACCCCGGCCTGTGTGCCAAGCTCCACACGGGCAGGAAGCACAGCTACTCTGTCTTGGCTGATGGTAAACAGGAAGCTGATCCTTTTGTGTCAACAGCTGGTTTTGTAAGTGAATGGGCTAAAGCTGTCACTAGCTGCTTTCATATTTTGAAGAACGCCCAGCGCATGGTTATGACCTTCAGGTTGAATGAGCAGATGGAGAGGGGCCAGCTCAGCAAACATGGAACACCATCTCCACCCTGGCAGAGCTCCTGCCCCTGCAGGCCTGGGTGGGGCTGGGAGCAGCATGAGGCCGATGAAGCCAATTCTCTTCC